CGTTAAAAACGTTAAAACTAAACTTAACGTACGTACGTACGTACCGTACGTTACGTACGTACGTACGTAGTAGTAGTGTACAACTAAACTAAACTAACACACACACACACACACACACACACACACACACACACACACACACACACACACACACACACACACACACACACACACACACACACACACTCTGTCTCTCTCTCTCATTATAGATAATGTTGTCATTGCTTACGCAAAGGATAATTTTTATAGCCTTCAATAGAAATTCAGACCCCTCTTATCACATCCTCTCTTTTAGGATTTCTCATAATTTCTCTCTTATGTTTAATACTTTATTACTTATAACCAATAAAGACAAGGTTTTCATCTATCAAGTGACGTATTATATTACATTATTTTCTGTACAGAGAATTGTTAATTTCTCTTTCAGTACAAGCTTCATTCCCACAGGAAACACATCGACTAGCTTTGAATTTGTAATGGCTCTTGTCACTTAATTAGAAAGCAAGTGAAATTGTATTGGAGATGAGGAGCCCAGATAGTCTCTGTTCTGATGCTTAACACATTCACTGCTACCAATAGTATTAATAATTCCTGCCCTTGTGCCAACCATGCTTTTCTTTTTTACTTAACCTAGGTGTATAATATTTATATGGGTAATTGTATTATGTTTAATTAGCTCATTGAAGATGCTTGTAATATGTGACCCACGTGTGTGTGTCACATGGTCCACAACTAAAAGTCTGTTGTGACCCACCAGTGGGACATGTGGCAGTGGACGTGTTAAGGGCTATTTTTAAGATGCAGTGTGAGAGTTTCAATATTTTTAAACTAATTGTTACTTTAAATCAATACTAAAAAGTAGACATAGAAGTGTAATCTATAATCAGTATGTCAAACATACACTAAATGTAAGTTTTATATATAGGAACTGAAACACTGCAAATACTTAGTCTATTGTAAGTTCTGAACTTCACATTTCTTTTGATGCACTGTTAGATTTAAACATTGTTTTTGGTTTCTAATATATAAACAATACTTGCTGTATTTTTTTTTATCATTAAATTTTGTTTCTTCATGATGCAACAAAAAAAAAAGGAATTTTCTTAATTGATTTGCTTAGAGTATCTCTTCATCTGGAATTAAACAGACTTAGTAACTATCACCTGTAAGTGCAAAAAAAGTAAAATGTAATTTGTAAATATTATTTTCTATTCAGAGTAAAAACTTTATAGTGTATGACTAGGAAATCAGGTTTGTAATATTCTAATTTAATTTATAACAGTTTTTGCTGATCTTTAAATAGAAGTAAACAGTATACAAGTATTGAAATAATTACATTTTTATTTTATACTAACCAACTTTGTTTATGTAGTTTTACCTGTATTTTAATATAACTTGTTTTTACAGCTCACTATACCCATATTGCTTATGAAGGTGACAACAAGGGATCAACGTGAGGCATAATTAAATATAGGAACTGTATAGACAAGAAATCACTGTATTTTTATATTGAGATTCCCTTTTCCTTTTTTTTGTCTTATTCTAGTTGGGATCTAACTTTTTGTTTTAAAGTTCCTTCCATGAAAATACAATATAAAGCATTGAGTTATTAGTTATTTGTATGATAGACAGTATAGTCTAAGAATGTTGTTCGGGTGGCTAAAAAGTATATATATGGAAAGATAACTGTTTATTCTATTAAGCATACCTCCTGACAGATGATGTATTTGTCTTTTTTTATGGTTTTTAATTAAGGTAATTCATCTGTGATTGGATCTTGTAAAGAAAAAAAGAAACTAGTGTAACAACCAAGAAAATATTAGGCACGAGATAAAAAAAAAAAAAAATTGCAAAACTAAATGTTTTGGTATATCTTTTTAGAAAATTACAAAAATGTTATTCTTTTATGATGGCATAACAACCTATGTTAATATAATGAAAGATAAGGTTTAAATCTTGTGTATCTTAGCCCCGTGATTTTTTTTTGATGAAAAAGCTTTTTTGATAGCAATTATGTGCAAAGGTTGGATTATGGAATATTAGATGAACTTAATACTGAATTATATGAATATTTTACGCAAAGGCCAAAGTAAAAAAAAGAATTTGTGACAAAATACTTTTATAAAGATATGTTAAGCACATAAGAATTTTGAATGGATTATGTAGGTTTTGTTTTAATTTGCAATAGACTGTTAAATGTCTTTTAAACTTGTGTATTGTATAGTTATATTTTTATGCATTATAATTTCAGTATTTAAATATTGTATATTAATCTAACTCTAAAGATATACTAATAACCAATACAAAATTAGATCTACACTGAATGTTATGTTAAATTAAAATTGCTTCCACCTAAAGTACTAATATGGTGGCAAAATTATTACTGTACTGTATGAGTAACTTCTGAAGTAAAATATCTAAGTAACTGAGTTTTGTGATTATCTGTGTACAGTGTGGAATCTTCAGAATGATTACAATAGTTGTTGGATTCAGTGAGTAATTGGGATGAATATTAGAAAGAATCTTTGAAATTTAAAACTGATGCAATGCATTAAATGTTTGGCTTTTAAATTATGTTTGAAAATAATAAGAAAGTTATAATGTATACATTGAAACAGAAAACAGGGCATGACAATTTGTATTTAGTAAGTTATTAGTAATAGAGTTCAGTATTTCAGCAGCTTAACGTTTTAAAAAGTATACCATTTAACAGATAGTATTTTCAGTGTAGCTACAAAGTTATTTCTATAGTCAGGAGCTTCTAGCAGAATTAAATACATTGCTTGAAAGATTTCTAAAAGTTCTGAGACTTGGAAGTCTTATAGAAAACCTCAAAGTCTGTAACTTGTACAAAATGTTAACATTTTTTTAAACTTGTATTTTAGGATCTGAGTCCATACTTATCTTTAACATCTGTCATTGGAAGTTGCAGAGACGATTGTCATATTCTGTTGGATAAACCTGTATGTCTGTATCACAGTAGATGCCGGATAAGATTTCAAAGATACAACTTGAACATATTTGTTGATAAATTATCTTTACGATTTTAATAATAACTAGAAAAGAGCCTGGAGAATGAGTGTGATGTATTTTGAATAATACTGTATTCTAATTGGAGACAGTCTCATTATAAAAATGGACAACCAAAATTTATCACTTGGATAGCAGTTTCACAAAGACAGTATTGTAATAGTAGCCGAAAATATAGTTTTTGTAAAAGAATGTACATTGTTGTGAGACGCTTGTTCTTTCTGTGGAAAGATGTTTTATATGAACAATTTTCTTTGTTTGAAACATGAAGGGTACTGAAAATAATTCTTGTTTTTTAGAAACTTCTGTTATTACAACAGTAAGTGACAGGCTTCTCAAGTGTTTTAGAATATACTTCTGCAATAGATTTTGTTAAATATTTTCCAACAATTCTACTTTTACAAAAAGGGTATGCTAAAATTTTGGATATTCTGAAGTTGTATTAGTTGCCATGTCTAGAAGTGGTTTCAATCCTGCAGTGTGTATGCTCTGTAAACTTTGAAAACTGATAAAAATTCAATACAACATTTTTCATCAATCGAAGCTCAGTCATCATTATTGAAAATAGGATCTTATCAAACTCCTGTAGGCTTTGAAGAAAATGGAAGTAGGAATGTTATAAGCTAAGGAATTAAGTTTTTTTTTAATTTGTGGTTATAGCTTCAATAACATAATCATACATACTTGTGTAGATGCTCACCTAATTGTCTTTAAATTTTGAACAAAATTTTTATGCTTAGTACTAACAACTGATCACTTGGCTCTTTTTTCTTTGTGTAGAGATATGTGTAATAAATAAACTTAGTATTCCGAAAATTGTTTAATCTCCAAGTCTAAGTTCAAGGGAGGTCCAGTTCAATCTACACTCTGGTCAATACATGTTATTGAGCAATACTAGTTTTAGAGAATTTCACTCTTCACCAGTAACCCTGAACACAAATTAACCAAAGAGAGATAAGCTGGACATATATTGTAGTGAAAAAGCATCAAACATTGTTGGTGTGAATGTGCCTTATATTCACTATAAGAAAAAAAACCCTATACACTGGAGAGGTGAAGTGAAAAAAAGTGTCATTGGCCTCTATTCAGTTCTTCACGTTATGTGCGGTTATACAATGTGAAGAACAGAGTAGTGTCCAATGACACTTTTTCTTTACTTCATGTACCCAAGGTATAGGTTTCCTCATAGTGACTTAAAGCATGTTCACACCAACAATGCTTGAGAGATGTGTACATCATTTTTTGATTTATGGATTTTTTATTTTTAATTTTCTTTGTTATATATTTTTTGGTACTGATACAGAAATTGCAAGACTACTTGTAGGAAGAACGTATAAAAAAAAATAATTGAAATATGGTTCGTTGCAAATCATTTAATGTATGCTCTGATCAGAAAATTAATGTGCTGGTATTATTGTGAAATGTACAATCCTAGACAGCAGTGTATAGTAAAAAAAAAAAAATCTTGACATAGTTATGGTCACTGCCTTCTGCTATGCATGATATAATTTTCATACCAGAAATCAAACAAGTTTCATAATTAAATATGCACACACTGTCATAAACAAATATTCTAATGCAACATAAGGTAGACATTTAAAATCTGTTTTCCTGTGATGTAGTACAACTCATTTTCTCATCTCTGCTGCACTTAGTTGAAGCTAATTTAAAATTAATAATAGAAGCTATTCAGGTGATATGTGTACTTGTATGTCTAAAACTAAATTAAGAATGGACCATATAAATTGCACATAAATGGAGTTTAAAAGCATATTTCTAATGGGCATGATATTGTTTTGTTGCTTTACAAATTAATATTTCATTGAAAGTTTTGTTTTTCCTTTATCAAGAGTTTAGACCATACTAGTAAGGGTGTGTAGAACAAAAGTTTAACAAGTAAAGTTCTTTATGTTGTAGGATATAATTGTAATAATGTGTATTCGGTGCTTACATAAACTATCTTTCACCATATCTCATCAAAAATATCTCTATAAAAGATTTTACAGTTTTTAGCTCAATGAGAGAATAATTATGTCTTAAGGGATGTGTTTGATTGTTAAAGGTCTACAAAATGTGAAATGTGTATACATATGTGTGACTATATGTATATATGTTTGGTTCCCTCCAGAGATTAAATATTCCATTGTACTATAAATTTAGTTAAGTTGGGGAAATATGGGTCGGTCTTTTATAGTTTTAATACTTCTGTGCATATAAACTTGGTAGATGAAAACCATTTTATGTCAAAAGTTTTAAAGAAGCAGTAGTAAAGGGATTTACAAGCACATAAGTTCTTTTTATTTTATTTTTTGTTCAGAAAAATTCAGAAATGTAACTTGCAGCATTCGTATGTTGATTAGAAATTTTCTTGGTGTTAAAAAAGCATAGGATTATAAGCTACAGTGTTCTTCTGTTGCACAGCAAGTGAAAGATTGTAATTTATAAGGTCGTATAGTGTTTGTGAAATGTAGGAATGTAAGTTAATGCTTATGTTTTGTTAAACCATTACAGAATGGAAATTACAATAAGATGTTGTTTGAGTTCAGGAATGTAGTTATTTTGTTTAAAAAAGAGTAACAATGTCTTATTTTTGTGTAAGACTAGTGTCAGACATGTCATCTTCAAAAAAAAAAATAGAAAAAAAAAGATACGATGTACAAAATGAAAACTGCCAAGGAAATGAATAATATGCTCGAAGTGTGGATATTTATAAAAATATTTAATCAAAGTAACACACAAGTGTTTTCAAGAGTTACAAAAAGTGAACAGTTCTGAACTGATATGTTAACTTTCACCATTATCTGAAATAAGCTTAACATCCATAAATTATACTTAGTCTAAAAATGAAGAATGATCAAGTAGTATGTGGGCCATTTGTTCTCTCACTTAAACTTGATCTTGCTTTGTTTGGATGTTGTTTTCTAACCTACTCTCCCTGGTATTTGTAACTACCTTCAAAAGTAGTTTCAGTCATTGTAAAACTACAGCTCCAAAAATGTTAAATTACTTGTTGATTTCTGTATATGCTATAAAAATATTAAATATTGTGCACTACCAAGGAAAATGCCATTGTTATCATGTAAAAGATGTTAATTTAAAAAAACAACACTATTTTCATGTTTCCAATGATGGTTCTTACAAAAAAAGTACAAAGTTAAATATATAAACTTTTTTAATATCTATATATTATCTGGAAAGGAATTGATTCACAGATTCTCCAACCTATGAAAAATGTACATTATTAACCTAGGTTACAGTTTCTCTGTAACAAAACAAAA